GCCATGGGTAACCCAGGATAAGCGGGATATGTGGAGACCGGAGAACATGAAACTGAATAGTTTCGTGATGGTTCCCGGACAGGAGCATGTGAACAGGTACAGTCTGATGAGTCACTGTCCCCAGCAGGTGACCGTCTAAGGCGCTGGCTGGAACTGGGCGAGATAAGGGAACCCGGTCTATTCCCAACTGCAGCATAAGCTCTTCGTCCATAATACTCGCGTCCGAACCAGAGTCAATAAAAACTGCAAGAGCCTGAGAGCTATCCGGTAATAGCAACCTGGCGTGGCTCAATGGTCTCTGAGCGGGAACAAATCCAGGGGTTTGGCTCACCAGTATGTTCCCCATTACTGCTGAGCCTTGCCTTTTACCGGGCAGCGAGAAACAAAATGGCCGGCCCGGCCGCAGTAGAGACATAGGTTACCTCGTCTGCGATGTTCACGTTCCTCCAAGGTGAGGCTGGTGCGACCCACCTGCATGGGCTCATCACCCCCTGGTTGCGGCTCTGGAGTGAGGGGAGGAGTCCCAGTCGAACCCGGATGTCGGGGCGCCCATGCATGTTGAACTCCCTCCGATCGTCGCTCCCGTCTCCGTGTCTGGATGCGCCGATCCATGCGGGAAGTCAGCTCAATCAGCCCATCCAGTGAGTTGGGCAGATCAAAAGACACCAGCTCATCTTTAATGTAAGCCGCCAAGCCACGCAGATAGGCGTCACACTGGGCTTCAGAATTCCAGTTGCTGAGGCGGCCCTTGGTGCGAAACCCAATAGCATAATCCACCACAGATCCATTACCCTGGCTCAGGCTCAGTAATCCTCCTGCAGCGTCTGGACCCACAGACACGGGTCCAAACACCTTGCGCAGCTCCGCGGAAAAAAGCGGGGAAAGAAGAGCAGGCGGGTGTCTGCCGCTCCCATTCAGCTGTGCCCCACAGTCGGGCTTTCCCAGTCAGATGATTGACCGTGAACGCCACACGAGCTGCTTCAGAAGCGAAAGTGTGTGGCTGCAGCGCGAACAGGATAGAACAGTTAGTAAGAAACGGGCTGCAGCCCTCCGGTTCCCCGGCGTAACGCTCCGGAGTTCCCACCCGAGGCTCTGGGGTAAATCCCATCGGAGAGAGAATGCAGAAGCGGGTGCCGGCGGCATGGGAAGAGGCGCTGGAGCAGCCCCTACTGCCGCCGCTAGCTGCTGCACAGTAGCCGTTAGCTGCTGTAGCTGCGCAGCTAAATAGGTTAGAGTCTGGTCGTGTGTAGAGTTAGCATGATGAGCCTCGGTGGCCAGGGAGGCTATCGAGGCTCCCTGCCTCTGGAGAGCGTCCTCAACTCTCTCGAAACGGTCTTTAGGTGAAGAGGAGTGCGCTGGGTCCATGTTCTGGCCAGATCGTTCTGTCACGATCTTATGAAGGACCCAAATGCAGCACTCGAGAAACCAAGGAGTATTGGTAATGTACTTTATTGGTAATACTACCAGAGCAGAGGAATACCAGCAGAACAGTATCAGCCGGATGATGTGCAGGCCGACGAACCAGAGGACAGCGGGCAGAAGGTGAGTCAGGGCCGGGCAGAGGGTCAGGGAGCAGGCGAGGCGGTCAACGTAGGTACAGGCAGGGTCAGACAGCAGGCAAGGCAGGATAGTCCAGGGACAGGCAGGATCAGGGAACAGGCAGAGCAGGCAGGTCAGGGACAGGCAGGGTCGGAACCGGGTGGGCAATCTGGTGACAAACGCGTGAAAGACTAGCATGAAGACAAAGTACGATCTGGCAATGGGTGTGTGTCTGGTGAGGGTTTAAATACTGGCAGTAAAGCTAATGGGTGCAGAAGAGAAAGAGAGTGAGCAAAAACGTGGGTGTGGTTAACAGGTGAGACAGGTGAATGGAAAACTACTGGTGAATGATGGAGCAGAACTGTGACAGTAAGTGTCATAGACAGTGTTACATTGCTATTATTATCCTTAAAATATATATAAAACAAAACCACTAATGATCTTTTTTTTTGGGTGTTTTACAGTTAATACTGTTTCTGCTATTGATGGTTTCATTTTTGTGAAAAATAATAAAATAATACAATTCAATAACGTGCTTTAACCACTAGATGTGCCTTTCTATCAGCTGTGCACCGTTATGGTGTAAATACAGCCTATCTACCAATTGGATCAAATATAAAAGTCAGCCGAATTAGTATTGATACTGCAAGGAGACGTATTGTGTGAAAAGAAATGTAAGATGTTGTTTAATTGCTGATATATTTATGATCCACGTCACGTTTTCAGTTTTGGCGGCAGTGCTTCCTGTTTGTCCAGAAGTCTTCTCATCAGGGCTCTATAAATACAGAACTACGGCAGATATGTCATATTTAATGCAGCCGAACCGTGTATTACAATGCCGTTATGTGATGACCTCCAAACAGAAAAGTAAGCAAACTCGGAATAAAGTATTATTTTATTTAAAAAAATGTTTTCGGATTTCACATCAACAGTAAGTCCGGTTCACTAAAATGTCCGTGCGGAACAATAACCCCAACCCATAGATCCGTGGGTGAATAATGTCAATCACCACATTACACACATCCCTTCACATTTACATTTTAATTTACATTAAAGTATTTCGTGAGGCCTTCTAAAATGTTTTAAAATATAATTAGGGTTGTAGTTGAAGAGTTTGTAAATTGCGTTGCCTGGCAACGCAATCGCACAACGTCACGTCCGTTAATTCCACATCCACACCAGTCTATGATCCACACACATGGATTAACATCGATTTAATACATTAATGTAGCCTTTGTTTCTGCTAAAAGAGGTGTCGACCAGCTAGGGCAACAAGAAAATCGGCGAAATCAAGTGTGACGATTAAAAAATAAATTAAAAACATCTCATTTTGACAATAAAAACCGACCAATAGGCGCGGTAGACCATTTGCTCGGCACTTCCGGGTATTTCTCCACTGGTTGGGCCATGTTAACAATACCGTGTAACTGTCACGTTTGAAGGGACGAAACCGTGACATATTCACGTCTCCCAGCATGGTAGATCGTCACATGTTCACGTCTTGCCGTGATACTGGGTTGCTTAGAAGACGTGGTACTTTTGATAGTTAAGTATATTTCTGCTGTTAAAGCTTATGTGCTTTTACTTATCTAGGCTTTTAAATGCATGACTTCTACGTACAACGGAGTGTAATTGGTATGTTACTTTTAATTAAGTTAAATATCCAAATACTTTTTCCACCAGTGACACCAAAAAAGGGTAAATAATTGGTCAAAATAGTGTTAAACATCCTGCAGGCCTGTAGTGTAGTGCCTGTTATGTTATGTTAGTTTGTCCTTTAAAGGTGGGGTAGGTAATTTTGGAGAAACCAGCTAGAGTGCGCTAGAATTTGAAAATACACAACCGGAAAAAATCTGCCACTTCCTTACAGAGCCTTATAAGAGATAGCTAAGATAAGATAACTTTAACAAGATGCCTGTGTGCTTAGTACCAGATTGTAATCATACCAGCAATGGGTCTTGCTCGTTCTTTCGCTTCCCGTCTGATGAAAGGACCAGGAGTGGCTGGATCAAGTTAGCTACCTAGCGAGTAGCATGCACGTTAGTTAGCATTACAGCCTTAGCCTTGTCATTTGTATTCGCCTTAACATGAAGTAACATTAACGGACCGTCCACACAGCAGCGTTAAAAAAATCTTGGAGGTGGGCGTATCTGAAGCTTGGGGATTTTTTGCGAGCAAGGCACCAACAACCAATCACATGAATCTCCCGCCCCCGACATACGAAGCAAAAGAGTTTGAAGTAAACTGGATATAAACTCCCCAAACAGGCGAAAACATACCACTGTCTCTGCCACCTCCCTCCATGCCTGGCTCCTCCGGTTTATATCCCGGTAGGTAAATAGGGACTGGTCATAAAGCACCGGGTGATTCCCTACCGCTAATTTCTCCTCCATTTTTTGGAATATGAGGAAATGAACTGCGGTATGTCACTCCCAGCTTACACGCCGTTTGATTGGCTAGAGCTTGAACTGTCAGATTTGCGTACACAGGATTTGATTGGCTGACGCTTCCACCTCAGCCTCAAAAGTTGAACATTGTTCAACTTTGAATCCTGAAAATCCTGAAAATCTCCGCTCGCCTGCCCACAATGCAGTTCGGCGAAAAGTGAGGGAAAGTGACGTCACCCCATTCAAAGTGAATGGGCAGAAGCGTTTCAAGATTTTTTTAACGCTGCTGTGTGGACGGTCCGTAAAGGTGGGGTAGGTCATTTTGGAGAAACCAGCTCGAGTGCGCTAGAATTTGAAAATACACAACCGGAAAAAATCTGCCACTTCCTTACAGAGCCCCTCCTCCAACACACACGAACGCGCACATGACCAATGAGGGCACGAGATAAGTTTGTGCACAGATGGAAGGCTGACAGGCAGGTAGGCCATCCAGTTATTTTATTACGGCTTCCACAGATGACATTTTTTAATGGATTTTTTGTCAAAGCACTTAAGATATTCATTGCTATCGGGATGTTAAGAGCATTCCATGGAATATAACAAAAAGTGTATCTCGAGCCGGTTTCTCAAACTTACCTACCCCACCTTTAATGTACATACTCATATGTTTGTGTTTATTGCTTTTTCATGCTTTTTTTAATGAAACCTTTGCCGTTTCTATATGTGATTGTTACATCCCTGCACCTACAAATAGATACAAGGGTGTGCATGGTATGCAAAATGTAAATGATACATCTTTATCATAAGTTTTGAAATGTATTGATTTTTAAAAGCTTTTTATTCTAATGTGATTCAGTTGATCTGAGGGCACCAGTTAATGATTATAATCTAGATTTATTACAGTCTACTGTCCTTGTAGGCCTACTGTATTTTCAGTAATCACGCATGGTTTTCCATGGAGGACTCTGACCCAAACCTGAGTCCAGAAGACTGTTAATAGGTAACAGAAAGTGTGATCATTCGTATGAAATTGTATGGAGTTTATTATCAAATATCCCGGGACGTTTTCCAGTTTTCATCGCGCCTGTGAAGTCTGAGTGAGGACAAGCTATCGGATCACAATCACATCATCAAACACTTTATTGAATCTTGAAATACAAAGATGTCTTTCAGTCAGAGCCAACCGTTATGGCCGGTTCAAGGACGAATATATTTGCACACATTTTACTGACAAATTTAAATATATTACAAATCAAATTATTAATTGTGTGTGAAAGTCCAAGTTTAAATAAGATGTTAATAAGGTTGGCCAGAATGTCCTTTGTCTTCCTCTTCAATAAATTACACTTTTACTTCAACCAAACTCGGGTCACCTGGTCACCAAGCAGCAACCTGCAAAAGAGTGATACAAGCAATTATTGGTCATTCACAACAACACTGAGAATTATTTACTATTTTGTTATGAACATGGATCATTTACTGAATGGCCGATCTGGCAGAGAAGAAAGGCCATAAAAAAACACACCAAACCACTATAAGATGCAAAATGACTATAACAAAATGCAAAACAACTCCACAGAGACTTACACAAAGGTACAATATGATTACCAATGGCAAAAATTCCCACAAAATGATCATGAAAGGACTGCAAATGTCCACAGAAGGAAGCAAAACTACTACATAATCATGCAAAAACAACCAAAAAGACACACACAACTAAAGAAACAGGATGTGAAGTGTGTCTATGGGGGCTTTCCCACTACCTATTCCCCCTTGTGGCCCTCTTGCTCGGACCACATCTACAAACGTGGCCTTCATTTTGATCTCAACTACAAAACTACAAAAATGTGTGACGGCATCTTGCTTGATTGCAAAGACAATGAGGTGACAACATCTGTGCAGTGACAATTAGGCAGAAAGCCAAAATATAAAAAACTCAGAAATTATTGAAAAAATACCCACAAAATGACTTAAAACAACCACAAAATGATACGAGTTGCCAACAAAGAGACTTTAAATGCCCTTAAACTGAAGCAAATCAACAAACAAAAAAAAGAAAAGAGGTTACCAGTGCCATAAATTATCCCCTTTTTACCCACGACCTTCATTTTGATCTCTACTACCTGCAGAAATGTGTGACTGCACGGTTGCAAGTTATCCGGCGGACATCATTTGTGCAAATACAGAAAGGCAATAATATAATAATATAAAAAAGTGTCTACAAAGATACTAACATAACCACAAAATGACTGCAATTGTTGCACCAATTTCAGTCTTCAGTCTAGTGTCTTTTACAGTACATGTCTGTGCCCATCGTCTCATCATCCGTCCAGGGTTAAAATGCATATTTAAAAGTTAGTTAAAGCTTGACTACATTTTAAAGGTGAGTAGGTTTAGAAGGTCAGACTGTAGTAAAGCTCTGTGGATCTACAGGAGGCCCGTTTTTGTCTCTGTGTTAGGTGAGACTGAAGTCCAGTGGAAAAGGAGGGATGGTGCTACTGTTATAAACTCCTTACTAAGTGTATTATGTAATCGAATTCAACAATGGGGCTGTCAGGTTTAATCCAGCCTCTTATCTATATACTCCTGTCTATCTGAACAAGATACTATGACCTTTCAGCATCACGTGAAGCATATACATGGAACATAAGACGTCACTATTTATATTTAACTCAACAAAAATGGTGTAATTTGCATTTCACATTAACCTGAATGGATATAGTGTGAGAAAATACCCCCCACTGTCAAACACATGTGAAATACTGCTTGATTTTAAACTATAATTATTAAAGGTGCCACATTGAGTTGTGCCCTTGTTGGCACATTGCTACACTTGTTTTAAATGCGAGTGGATCACTGGAAAAGCAGGATGTTAACCAATGTGCCGCCAAAATGTCACACTCTCATGTACAAACATAGCTCTGTAGCCCCTCTAGTGGCCAAAAACTCCACAGGACACCTTTAAGTAAAATATATTAAGACCCTGTTGAATAGTAACAATATCAAACTACTGTACCAGACGGATATCATGTACTGTTTCTTTACTTAAACCTCCTGTAAGGGAAGCATCATAGTTAGTTTGTAACGTAAATGTCCGATATAAAAATGGATTATGGGGAGGATAGATATGTCAAACAAACTCGGGAAGTTTACCAAGAAGCATTTCATGTTTATGTGAAACCAGAAGTCAATATTGACCTATTTTAATGTCGTTTAGTTGGGTAATATACCTACTAAACGCACGTACGTTAGTTATATAACAAACAAACATTGTCATTTTAAACAACACTATGTCTTTTAACCAGACAGTTTTTTTATGCAGGTGCTTGCCCAGGTCTCATTTGGCTGGACATTTTTGGGTGAACATAGATTAACGATGGGCACAGACATGTAAAAGACACCAAGACTGAAAATGGTACAACAATTGCAGTCATCTTGTTGTTATTTAAGTGTTTTTTTGTGGGCAATTTGAGTATCTTTGTAGTCACTTTTTAATCAAACAAACAGTTGCAGTAGTATTTGTTGGCTATACAAACCTGACTAAGACGACGGTGATCAGCGCTCCACATAAGGGTCCTGCCCAGAAGATCCAGTGAAAGCCCCACTGGCCTGCAACCGCTGCAGGACCGAAGGCTCGGACCGGGTTCATGCAGGCTCCAGACAGCTGGCCACTGAAACAACAGACAATATAGCTCAACAGTATGCTTAAAGGTCCCCTATTATACTGTTTTTCATCAATATATTATAGGTCTCAGATATGTACAAAACATGTCTCTGAAGTGTTTGGCTCCAAACACCAAACAGATCATTGCAGCATTACCCATAATCCCCTCTGTTTCAGCCCTGTTTCCAAAGTGCTGATTCTCTGTCTGTTACTTTAGATGAAAATAAGGAGCCCCTCCCCACGCCCCTCTGAGAGAGATTTGGTTACAAAGAACACAATGGTGCTCTAGGAGGAGATTCAGGGGATAAGGTGGGGGGGGGGGGGGGTTACCTTGGTTGGTGATTGGCTAATGGTTACACAAGACAAAACATCGTTATGACATCATAAAGTGGTCAACATCAGCTCATTTTCAGACAGGTTTTCATATAAATGGATCAGGACAAAAAGAGAGAGAATCTTTTTTCCTGAAACTTTCAGAGTCTCTTTCCACATGTTGATGTAGAAGAGACATGAAGAAGAGGGGACACATGTTGATGAAGAAGAGACATGAAGAAGAGGGGACACATGTTGATGTAGAAGAGACATGAAGAAGAGGGGACACATGTTGATGTAGAAGAGACATGAAGAAGAGGGGACACATGTTGATGTAGAAGAGACATGAAGAAGAGGGGACACATGTTGATGAAGAAGAGACATGAAGAAGAGGGGACACATGTTGATGTAGAAGAGACATGAAGAAGAGGGGACACATGTTGATGTAGAAGAGACATGAAGAAGAGGGGACACATGTTGATGTAGAAGAGACATGAACAAGAGGGGACACATGTTGATGTAGAAGAGACATGAAGAAGAGGGGACACATGTTGATGTAGAAGAGACATGAAGAAGAGGGGACACATGTTGATGTAGAAGAGACATGAAGAAGAGGGGACACATGTTGATGTAGAAGAGACATGAAGAAGAGGGGACACATGTTGATGAAGAAGAGACATGAAGAAGAGGGGACACATGTTGATGTAGAAGAGACATGAAGAAGAGGGGACACATGTTGATGTAGAAGAGACATGAAGAAGAGGGGACACATGTTAATGTAGAAGAGACATGAAGAAGAGGGGACACATGTTGATGTAGAAGAGACATGAAGAAGAGGGGACACATGTTGATGTAGAAGAGACATGAAGAAGAGGGGACACATGTTGATGTAGAAGAGACATGAAGAAGAGGGGACACATGTTGATGTAGAAGAGACATGAAGAAGAGGGGACACATGTTGATGTAGAAGAGACATGAAGAAGAGGGGACACATGTTGATGTAGAAGAGACATGAAGAAGAGGATTTGGCATAATAGGTGACCTTTAACATTTAGAAGTATCAGTGGCAACTCAAATACAAAAATAATGCAATGTGGTTTAATAGAGTTCTTCACAGAGTTTAGCTGCAGAATAAAAATATTTACCACCCGTTTCCCTGGAGAGTTTGTGTTAGGATTGGATTAACCCTCTATGGCATGACTTTTTATTTTGGGAGGAAAAAAATGTTTCACCATGTGTTTTCGGAGCTTAGGGGTCCCTGATATTATATCAATTATAAAATGTGACCCCCCCACACCCCTCAACCAGGGTGCTATCAGGGTATTGAAACACCAAGGATTTCTACAATTCAGAAGAAATAGAAAAAACAACTCTATATGAATTCAAAAGGTTTTCTGTGTGTGTGTGTGTGTGTGTATATGTGTGTGTGTGTTTGTCTGTCTGTGTGTGTATGTGCGTGTGTCTGTGTGTGTGTGTGTGTCTGTGCATGTCTGTGTGTGTCTGTGTATGTGCGTGTGTGTGTGTGTCTGTGTGTATATGTCTTTGTGTATGTGTGTGTGTGTGTGTGTGTGTGTGTGTGTGTGTGTGTGTGTGTGTGTGTGTGTGTGTGTGTGTGTGTGTGTGTGTGTGTGTGTGTGTGTGTGTGTGTGTGTGTGTGTGTGTGTGTGTGTGTGTGTCTATGTGTCTATGTGTCTATGTGTGTGTGTCTATGTGTGTGTGTCTGTGTGCCTAACCCTATCTTGACCTTCACTGTCCTCACTGTCAGACGGAATAGCCCTAACAGCCTGATCGTGTCCCTTCTGCCCATAACATGTGTTGGTGTCCATTTCCTGTAAATATCAGTCGATGGTAAAGTAAAAACATTGACTAGGTTTATCATTTTACAGCTGAGCACACTTGCATGATGTTGCCTGGAAAAAAGTGGTCCAAGTGGCACAGTGTTGGCCTGAGGCAACGAACAAAAGCACATAGTTTTAGCTAATTAATAAATACATAATAAGTCTTTAAACAATCAAATATACTTCTTTACGTATTCATGCACATGAATGTATTTTTTATTTTAAGTTGTGTGCATTTCTAACATGTTAAAAAGTGAAATGTATCTTACCAAGTGGTGGCCCTGAGTCCCCTGCAGCTTTGCTTGCAGAAAGGACTGGCTGCTCCACCCCCAGACAAAATGCCACACCCATATAATTCCCTCATTTTATTGGACACCAGCATGTCAGGTGACATTGTGTATATTTAAAAAAAATAAAAATATTTCGAGGGCCAGTGTGAGGTCAAAAAAAGTGGTTTGCTGCCTGAGGGCAACAGCATGCCATAGAGGGTTAAATATTAAACAGACCTTTCAAGGTAATAAAAAGAGTCAATAACGAACCTTGGCTTCCCTTTTATAACTGATAATAATAATAAATACATGTTTACGGCTGCAGGTGACTTTAAGGACACGGTATTCATGCCTTCTGTATATTATTTATAAGGGGGAGTTTATGTTCGGTATTTTAAATAACAGATATGTTTTTTAATGCTGATTCAAATATTTCTAGACGTTTTTAAATGTATGGTTAGGCCGACTGAAGGCAGGTCTATTATTACTCCACCAGAATCTCATCATGGTAGATTGGAGCATTTAGGAAGAATAAAGATATATATTAAACATGGATATTATTTAAGATTAAAATGTTAAATGTATGAGTTTGTTGAGGTTGATCCAACCAAGTAAAGGAATGTGATTCGATGAACAAAAAGACCACTATTTTTCAAGTTCTTTTCATTTTATTATGTGACTTTAATCGTGAAAATCCAAGTTTTTTTCTTGTACATGGTCTTAAATTTACTGCATCAATCTCAGCAGATGTCTTGGAAATGTACAAATGTAATCTTGGAAATTTGAGCGTTTTTTCCTCCATAATTAAACTTGCAGAAAATCTAACTGGACAGCTAATTAAATGTATTTTTGTCTGTCATGGCCTCAGCATTCAACATACAGTAATTCCCCCTTTCCTCTGGTTGTGATCTGTGGATAGATAATGTTGTGCAGGATTGTGGATGATCTTACCCCGCTAATATGTTTGCGCTCACAGTGAGGCCGATGCAGAACGCAGCCACTGGGGAGCTGGTCTTCTTGTTGACGGCCCCCATGCAGACCGCCAACGTGAGGAACAACGTCATTATCACCTCGGCCAGAGTGATTTTACCCAGATCTGCGGTCGGGCCCACGAGAAAGGATCCTCCGAAGGAAGCATTATAAATGTTATCAGGAAATACGCCCTGAAAGAAGAACAAATTCATATATAATATCCCTGCATGATACAATTATCCATCATACAATTGAATGAAGAGAATAGTTTTCATCTATTTTTCCCTTTTGTTTTTATTCTAAGCTATTAAGGATAGCACAAAATCAAGACCAGGATTAAAGGATGCTAAGGATATCAGTTGTTTCGTGTGTTTTTTTTGTCATAAAATGCCATAATTATCATTATAAGATACATCAAAACGTTTAGCTTAGTAAGTCAAAATTGGAAGATTTTAAGTAAAAAATGTAACTTATTTCGTCAAAATTATGATATTTTAGGACGAAATCTTGAAATACTAGGTCAATATTTTGAGATTTGATTACATACTTTCACGTTACTTAGTTAAAATCATGAGAAACTATTAATTCATCTAATATTTTAATACATTGTGAACCTACTTTGTCCTAATTGAGATACTACGTCAAAAATCTGACTTACTGGTTAAAAATTATGCAATATAAAATCATATAATTATTTTAAAATATAATCTTAAGAGATATTACGTCAATAATGCAATTTAATAAGTTAAAATGACGGAATACTTGCTTATTATCTTGGATATTTTACTAAATATGTTAAATGCTTTTGACTGCAGTAGGTAAGTCAACTTTGTTGCTTACCTTGAGTATTTCTATTTTCATTACAACAAACTTTTTTTGGGCAGAATTGGGCTTCCATAGTGTTCCTCACCCTGGTTAAAGCCGCCCCCAGTAGGCCTCCTAACATCTGGGCGAGGATGTACGGCAGCAGCAGGGCGAGCTTCATCCCTCCACACAGGTACACACTCACAGACACCGCAGGGTTAAAGTGCCCGCCGCTGCAAAAACACAATAAACGTTACTCTGTTATCTCTGGAATAACGTTATGAACTGATAACAATGACCCTTATCTAGCACACAAAGGCAATTCAAGGTCATTTTTTAAATCAAAATTATACTTATGAATAATAATCTATCTATTTATAGAAATGTGTCAGTGTGTGACAAATCATAAAAATCGTAAGTAATCTACTTAATATTATCTGTGGACTACATGTTAAGGCAAATTATCTTTAAATCAGTTAATTGAGATGAAAAATAATGACCCTTATCTATCAGTTGTATAACAGCTTGTAATAACAGCTGCAGGGTTTATTTGTACACAACTTTGTCAGTGAGTGACAGATAACCAACTTTATAAAACGTATTATTTACTGACATTTTAAAGCAAATTAACCATCATGTTAATTAAAGTTGACATTTAAAAGACAATAAATAATCAGTCTGCTGAGAAACCAACACAAAAATGTAACTTAATGAGTTAAAATGACCAGATATTAAGTGAAAAATCGCACTTACTGGTTCAACAATTTGCAATATTAAGTAACTTTTTTGTCATCATCCTTACTTTGTCAATATGTGACAGAAAATCATAAAAAAGGTATTATTATCTCAAATCAATAAGTCAATTTATGTTGTCTCTACACAAGATTTTTTAAAGACAATAAATGATCAGTCCGCTTTAGAAAACACAATATCTTTACCTAATTTTCCCAAACAGCATGATGAGCACAGCCAGTGCCAGACCATGAGCCATCGCAGGCTGCAGGACCCCGAATTGACCAATGTTCCCCATCACAGACGCACACCCCACAAACACAAACAGGGTCGTCCCGTACAGCTCGGCCAGGCACGGCTGCACATACTGCTCGAACATACTCGTCCTCTTGGTTTCCCTTTCAGCTGCAGGTTCCACCATCTCAGTTATTGTGAAAATCTCAGCCTTGTTTTCTGTGCCCGACATACTGAATACAAATGATGTCTTTACCTGTCCTGTGTCACTCACAGCTCACACTCTCTGATGATGGACACTTATAAGCCATTCTGAGGATGATTCATAAAAGACCTACGCACATCCCCATTTTTTCCCCTTCTGATGCCCCACCTTCCTGCAATTGTTTATAATCCCAAGAGCAATCAGGAGAAGCTCATAAAATGATGTATATATGTTTTTGAGAGATAAGGATGAGGGGTGTCAGCACAAAAGCAGCATGTTAAGTTTAAGGGGTACCACATATTTTAGTTCTCTATCAGTACAATCATTTTAATACATAAGGATTGTGTTGTTTTTTATGTTAAACCTATAAAAAACAGATTTTTGTTGCCACTTTTAGGGCAGTGGGAAAAAGCTATAAACTCATAATCAGTTATCACCTTCAAGATGATATGACCAGACTACTAGCTAAGGTTATTCTGAGTTTATACTAGGGTATAAATAGCAATACCTCAGATATCTGATTATAATAAATACTGATCCTATTAACTGATCATCATTTTATTTTTCCTTTATGAATTAGAATTGTAATCTATTCTCTGATTAGTTGTTTTTTATTTAAAATATTATAGTTTTACCGATATTTCATTTCTTGTGTGCCGTTTAACAATACAATAAAATAAAAACAAGTATACAGTATACAAATACTGTGTTACAAAAAGTTAAATAACCCCACAAAAGTATCAGGATAACAGAACTAAAAAGCAAAAGTTCTAATTAGGCAGAAAGTCACATTTCTTAATCATAATTGATGCATTAAAGTGTTCATTTCTTTAATCTTGGTGGCACTAATGTTAAGTACTGCTGTTTAGCTTAAAGTGGACCTATCATGCTATATTTGAATAATATAGTGTAGGACCATACCTATATAAGGCATATTTATACTTTTTTTTTTTCAAAATACCAAACAGATCATGCATTTTAGCCATGCCTCATTTTGCTCAATTTGACATTTTTTTGCTCTGTTTTTGCAAGGGCTGATTCAGTGAGAACAGCACCACTTACAGGCCTGGCATATGTACTACAGCGTCTCCAGCGCTTTCGAACGGCAATGGCCGTGGCTGTCTCCTCCTGATTGGTGGAGTTGGCCCAATAGCTGTAGCGCCACTGTCCTGACGTCAGGACAGTGTTCAAATCTGGATCAGTTTTTATCAGATCCGTTGCAGCCCCTTTTTTAGAGATTTGGGTATGGAGGAAAATAGAGAGGGTTGTGTTTTCTGACACTTGGTGAGTTCCCTGGAACACCGGGGACACATATTCATGTATAAAAGACGTACAAAAGTGCATTTTGCATGATAGGTCCCCTTTAATATAAAAGCATCCTAATTCTTCAGTTAACTCATATTTTACAATGATAATTATGAATAAATGTAGGCAGGGAGCTTTGCATGACATTCTTCTGGACGTGTTTCATTGTGGTGATAGTGAGGGAAGTCAATCCCTTGTTTGGCAAGACAGTAGTGACGGCCATCTTGGTGACGTGTGTTGTTGTGCAAGACCAGAGATGTAGTTCATTGAGCGGTTTCACACAAAAAAAGTCTTACTTCACAGTTTTACGGCAAAACGTTTTTTTTTTACTTGCAAAATTATCTTTTAAATTGACAAACATCATATGTGTAATTCGTGGCACAATTCAAACTGGGTCGAAAGTTAATATTTCTCTCGCCATTGACTTCAATACATAATTTTTCCGAAATAAGGTCCCATGGAGCTCCACCGGAAAGGGAGGGACTTCGCCTCTCTATAGGCTATGTTAGCAAACATATCCGACCGGCTAGCAAAATTAGCACAACAGGCTACTGGAGTTGTGTTTCTTTACCTGTTTTTTTTTCTGCGTTTGGTATTTTCCTCTTCCATATGTAAATTGTTTATTCCTCCATTGTACACCAGCTAGTTGCCTCATTTTCCAGTCGGATCTTCAGTGTCAGGAAAAATCAAATGCTTTCAGTTTTTAGGGAAAACAGCTAGCGATGAGAGCGGTGGGAGTCAACCAAAACAAGTTTCTGTCAGAAAACTAATGCTAATGTTAATTACTGCTGGTTAGCTAAATATAGAAGCTAAACATCCTAATTGATCAGTTAACTCATGTTATATTGATACATTAAGAGTAACATCAAATAACAGCAGTGGAGTTGAGGTATAAATAAGGAAAAAGTCAAGTAAAGTACCAACAATTACATTTCACATGTTAGCAAACACTTTACCCATCGACTTAGCAACATTAGCATAAGCAAATGCAATACATTTGATGAACTAAAACTCGTCTGAATAATGCTACAAAGCTCTTTTGAACTAAAGAAAACTGCAGATTCAGAGGATAATTTTATTATTGCTTCAAAATATGTATTTCTATACCGTTTATCGCATTTCAGCATCATTTCTACGCCGCTATACAGATTTTTTACTTTTTAATTTTGCTATATTGTGGTATATTACAAATGTTTACTTACATGTTTCACATACATTTGACCTACATAGTCATTTCTCTTATCTGTTAACGAATATTTATATTGCAGAGACTGTAATGTTATTGACGTTTTCCACATATATCAATAACGTTTTAGGAGTCTGATTGCAAGCAAACCTTTCCCATATGAGTAACTTAATCTGTTAATATAGACATATCAATTGAGGCGGTTTTGAAATCTGAGCTGAATATAAAGATGGATTCTTCCATGAAGTAATGGCCTTATCATACAATTTAGTTTATTGTTCACACAGTATGACTATAAAGACTTTAACAGCTTTTATAATGACGTCAGCTTGTCCCTCCCACTGCAGATAATCATTAATAATGATTTATAATAATAAATAAATGAACAGACCAAAACAGCATTACACAAAAAGGCTTTTTTTTATTCAACTGCACTTAACCAGCTTTCATCAGAAACTATCACAAACTAATCCCTCATGTCCTTTTTTCTGCTTGAAACAAGGCGCAAGAATAGAACAAATAATGCGGGAAAAATGTCAATTAACTACAGTATTAGCATGCATGTATTGTATTGAAATGATCCTGGAAGTAGAATTGATGAATAAATAAAACTAAAATGGCACATGGAAAAACAGAAAAGGACAAATAAATGACATCTGAAAACATATTTTCATTCATTTTCAACTCATGTGAGCAGGGTTTGAAATCCTATTTCTATATGTGCTCAATCACAGACAAAATCTGCCTGTAAACAAATGAATAAAACAAACCTGACCTATTTTACAGTAGAGACACAAACGTCTTCACGGTTCTCAGGCGGATCCTTCTCTTATTTTCTGACACTTAAAAGGACATTCAACAAATCACATTCTGCTGATGGCGGGAGTTTTTGCACCGGAACAGCTCCAAGGTGAGGGCTTGATCGAGATAAATCGTACTTCCTGTTTCCCAGTGTCAACCACCGTACTTCTTCTCCACTTGTTGATTTTGGCGCACACACATGTAGAGCATGTTCAACAGAGGAGCCGTTTAACACTCAAAATGCCAACTGTGACAGACCTGAGGAAACAGAGCATGACCTGTTCTTGTTAATGACCGCTCCACGCATTCAAACTGGGAGGATGGGTGGGAAAATATAAAACACTTCACACATATTAGTAAGTCTAAGTAAATAAACTAACGGACAGCATGGCGCCGTAGTGGTCGCAGATGACGCTGAGCAGTCATCATTTCATATTTCCAGTTAACATAGTTTCATTTTAATGGAGTGGTAATCTAAAATGTATTTTACCCAGTTTGAGTTTGTCCTTGGTGGCCCAGCAGATGCTGTAGTGTTGAAGAAGTTGTTGCAACAGCTCACGCTCATCCAGGAACTCAAGACGCTCAATTCTGTAAATAAAATATATATTATAAATATGTTAAAGAGACCCCATTATGCTTTTTAAGGTTTGTCCCTTTCCTGTTATATAGGTTTGTGTGCATGTAAATGGTCTATGGACTCATTTGTTTACTTCGTAGACATAGTGAATTCACTACATAACACTTGCACTCCTATTGGCTAGCGCTCCAACACATTGTACGTGATAGGCTAATGGGCGGGACACCTCTAAGCGGTTGACCAATCACAACAGAGCCGGCCAGCTAACCAATCAGAGCAGACTGGGCTCTGGTTTCAGACAGAGGGTGAAAAGAGGTGCTGCAGCACAGGCAGTATGAGGACAATAAAGAGCTTTTTGAACATTAAAGCATGAAGACATGTCCCAGTAGAGACACTACATACTGATATACACCTGAAAAAGAGCAAAATAAGTTGTAAATATTTCATCTGTTCAGAAATGGGATCATTTGTATCAGACTATATACACAGAAAGAGGGAAAATAACTTTAAAGGACTGCAATTATGTAGTGCTTTGTTAGTGCACAGGACAAAGGGCTTTATAAAATCGATTAATTGACGACACACTATACTCTTTAACGTAACCAGAATAGGTTATAAATCCAGAACCCTGCAACACATACTAGTTTATTGATGATCATAATGTTCTTTTCAGTGTTTGTGTCTTTCTTTCAGTTTTATTAATGCATGGTTGGCATACTTGAAGCGTTTGAGGCTTTTCCCCACTGACACATGACATCATTCTGCAACACTCAAACTTTAAATGCACCTTGCCACATCGTCCTGGGGCAGCATACTGTAGACCGTCATCATGTCCAGAGCATCAGACTGCTCCCAGCCGGTCTTAAGAAACCGCTCCCTCTGCAAACAACACAGTAAAATACACATTTAGATAATATTAACCAAATATCCATTAAGTTATCCATGGATAGCCATTGAGTTTTATAATTCTGATTGCACGCCAACCCTTTTCCATATGAGTCATGTGATCTGTTAATGAGTTTAGCTCAATATAAAGATACATTTCTCCATGAATTAATGGCCTTACAATACTAACGTTATCATAGCTCATCAAATGAATCTTACATTTTGGACCTGACTTACTAATAATAATAATACATTTTATTTAAGGCGCCTTTCATGATACCCAAGGACACCGTACAATTTGTTAAATATTCTAAGATGTAAAAGCAACAGAACATGATAAAAACACAAACAGAATGCCTCACTAAAGCCACTCGACTCATAATAATCCTTCAGAAGTTAAACCTCTGAGACTTTTTGTTGTGAAATATTGAGTCTGGAGGTCACCTGGGTGTCCAGAGACTGACAGGCCTCGACTCCTGCGAGGTTGCACTGGCGACGCTGCAGGTTCTCGATCATCACCTGGCCGAATCGATCGCTCATGTTCACCTGGAAACATCAAAAACACACACTTACTACTTTTGTCTATTCAAAGACCATTATATAGAAAACCAAGATACTTCTGTACGGTGAATAACAGAAGCAAACTACATTTTCTTTTGCAGTTTAAAGGTCCCCTAATATGCAAAATCCACTTCTTCATGTCTCTTCTACATCAACATGTGTCCCCTCTGTGTAAAGAGACTCTGAAAGTTTCAGGAAAAAAGATTCTCTCACTTTTTGTCCCGATCCATTTATATAAAAACCTGTCTGAAAATGAGCTGATCAGATTTTGGCCACTTTATGATGTCATAACGATGTTTTGGCTTGTGTAACCATTAGCCAATCAGCAACCAAGGTAACCCCACCCCCCCACCACCACCTGAATCTCCTCCTAGAGCACCATTGTGTTCTTTCTAACCAAATCTCTCTCAGAGGGGCGTGGGGAGGGGCTCCTTATTTTCATCTAAAGTAACAGACAGAGAATCAGCTCTTTTGAAACAGGGCTGAAACAGAGGGGATTATGGGATGCTGCAATGATCTGTTTGGTGTTTGGAGCCAAACACTTCAGAGACATGTTTTGCATATATCTGAGACCTATAACATATTGATGAAAAACAGTATAATAGGGGACCTTTAAAAGACGTTTGTTTTGTTCACCTGTTCGTAGTTGACGAACATGGCGGTGGGGAAGGTCTCTGCAGCCCAGTGAACGACATTGGAGGACTGCGAGGGCGTCATGTAGACGAGCACACACTCCGACAGCAGCAATGTGGGTAATCTGGAAGAGCAGCAACACACTTAATCACTGCAACAATACTAGAAACCACTGTAATTCTGCCAAACAAGCCTCTAAATGTGCTTCAATTTATGTTATCTGGATCCAGATATGCATCAAGGTAAACATAGTGTTAGAACTCTATATTCTCTACTCTATATTTAGCTAAGATAAGAGCCAGTCATAGTAAAACTGTTCATAAATACATTACATTTTGGCTAAGATAAGAGTAAAGCTGTTCATAAATTAATTCAATTGTGGGACAGTGGGATTTTCTTTTAGGGAGTTTTTCCTAGCAATAGTCTTAATGAGTTGTGTGAGGTACAGTGTATAAAAACCTCTGAGACAAATGTGTTAGTTCTGATATTGTTTGATATAAATCATATTTATTTGATGTTGGATTGTTTAAAACATTAATGGCTCAGGAGAGACAGTAAAGCCATTTCCTTTCCACTAAATTTCATTGAAAGATCTTACTGATTAACAGACAAGGAGACCTCTATAACCTATGACCTTAAAACTACTTGCACTAAAATCTATTTGTTTCCCAGAAGTATATAATACCTTCACAACATTAAGTGCGGGAAGGCAAAAAGTGATGACCCGCACTTTAAAACAAAGACTAATAAAACGGCCTAAACTCACACGATCACATCCGGCAGCTTCCTGAAGAAGAGAGCCTCCCTCTCAGTGAAACTTCCAATAGATAGATTAATGTACTACAGTGTGTTAAGGGATAGGACCAAAGAAAACATCAAGAAGGATGTCTCTGTCAATCATCCAAGTACTATAAAAAACAAGTAGCTCTGTCCACTGACAGCCATAAAATGATACTGTACTCCACCTAAAACCTTTATTCTTTTTTTAACTCAATATCAAAACTGTTTAGTTGGTAGCTTTAAAAACGTTGGTGTTTTCTCCATTGCAAATAACTAAATCCATGGCAGTAAAAGTGAATTGAAATAGTTTGTACAATGGTAAAACGATCCCAAACTTGATTAAATACATGGTTTGCAAAACATGCTACCACTCTCCTCAAAGCAGCACATTTAGCAATATTTTAACCGCAGTAGGATGACTTTTTAATACTCAAAACATGCAGTATCTGTGGTGTTTCCTTTCAAATCAAGCTCCTGACGTCAAACATTACATCTGCATTTCAGCCTTGCAGACACTCAGTAGAGTCACTGTGTTATCTAGTGTTACTCAACAAGAGGTAACACAGAGGGTGTTTCTCAATCTCGAGTAAAGCTGCTTCAGAGCCACTATTTCAAGCATACTATGTCATCGAGTGCCGCCGAAGGACTGTTCCAATCTCCAGCATACTTGGAAATCTACCGAGCCCGGCGTACTCCGTTTGGAGAAATATCGAGGCTGCACATGAGTAGACTCCGCGGTCTTAAAATCCCCACAATGCTTTGCGCACGGACCAATTTCCCCAAATCTGTGGCGGAAGATGTAAGGCGGGGCCTCTCATATGACGCACACCTGCACACTTGCTAGCGTGTTCCACTCTTTGTTTTCCAAATGTCAGGAAGTATTCTTGACTCGCTTCTGAAGCAAGATGCTCGGAAGACATGTGCTACCAAGCAAGCGTACTCGCGATTGAGAAACACCCTATGTGTAGACTCCGCGGTCTTAAAATCCCCACAATGCTTTGCGCACGGACCAATTTCCCCAAATCTGTGGCGGAAAATGTAAGACGGGGCCTCTCATATGACGCACACTTGCTCGCCTGTTCCACTCTTTGTTTTCCGAATGCCAGGAAGGATTCTTGCCTCGCTTCTGAAGCAAGTGACTCAGAAGACATGCTACCAAGCAAGCGTACTCGACATTGAGAAACACCCACAGATAAGCTCCAATTCTTGGATTTCTAAAGACACCCTGGGGAAACTAACTGACAGAGAGCAGAGTGAGGGTCTTTTTCCACCAAATAAAATATTCAGGTTTAATTCTTTCTTCAAAAACGTAATAATTGACTCAGTATGAAGCGTGATATTGGGATGAAACTAAGAGAGGAAATATATGAATTCACATACTCTGGATTAAGCTGGAACTTCTTCAGTTTCTCATCCAGACTAGAGATGTCTCTGAGGTCAGCTCCAATGATACAGTACCGGTCTGAGTCCAGGCTGTGGGCGTCTGAAACACAAACACACTGTGAGGAGTATGGAAACAATACGAGACACACACGTATATTTTCTGACCTAAAACACAAAATATTTGTATGGAATGAGTGTAATTTATTGGTCATTACCTAGTAGTAAGGAGTCTGTTGAGTGGGTTTCGATGAGGGGTTTTGACAGGGGTGGCTTCGTCCTAATAAATAAAAGAAACAGCAATATAATTCATAAACTTCGGATCACCAATAAACATTAAGCTGCACTACAATAACACATTTTACAGGATACACTATCTATATAGATAAAAAGCAACAAAAATCACTATATTTATATTCAGATTACTAGTTTATATAATCTATACCTACCTATAAAACACATAGAAGTATTCCTCACTTGGGAGTAAAATTATGCAGTCGAATAAAAATGTTTTGGTTAAATTATGTGAAGCTTATTGTGAATACTGATAGTCATTTTCCACACTAATAATATACTTTTAAATACTATATAATGGAATCGTTGCATTACATGTAATGAGAACACACTGGATTACTCTGAATAGATTTTAACAGTTTTAAATGAAGCTCTGCCGCCCTCTACAGTCTTTGACGCCACATTGCAATACCAAAGCCAGAGAAGGGAATAAAAACATCACACAGTCGTGCTTCCTAATGTTCATCTGCCATACTGACCACCTAAGGACATTGTTCTTATTAATATGCATGTAACATTATATTTTATAACCTTCATAATCTGATCTTCTAATGATAATCATAGCATGGTTGTCTTACTTGATATTGTGTATTTTTCTGGCCACAACTGTTGGAAAGTCAACTTCAAAGAATTTCCGTGGCATGAGGTTTTCATCCTATAACACACAAACACACACACATTAATTAACACACATTAATCTGTATACTAAAGGCACAAATAAATGTTTCCGATACAATAATATACATTCATTTTGACCCTCTAAATGACAGTGTACATAATGCCCCTTTTATCTTTATGAATAAAAAACAATATATATTTTTTGAGCAATGTCAGATTATTAAGAAATCTCCCACTTGTTACCTTTGGATAAATATTTCAAAAGAGAAAGCCTAAAATGTCCCTAAATCCGGGTTAAAGGCTTAAACTAAATAAGTTTGTGTTATACAGAGTTGAAAGCAACACGAGAGCAATGGGGAGTCACATTTAGACCAGAGTTTAGCACTGAGCCAGGATGCAAACCTTGAGTCTCCAGAAGGTGGTGTCCAGCCCGGCTCCCAGGTTGATCACCTGACAGTCGCACTGCGTCTTCCTGAGGAACGCGTCCAGGAGATGGTTCACTCCCTGAACACGGGCATAGTAACCTGTTGAAAAAGAGAGGGGGATGAGCTAATAACAACACATGCCGGGACAACATCACATAAAGAATTTCTCAGACCCTCTCTGGCTTTGAATTGGAGCATGCACCACATCAATCAATCAATCAATGTTTATTTATATAGCCCAATATCACAAATGTTACATTCAGGGAGAGCAACAGAGGAGGGATCCCTCTCCCAGGACGGACAGACGTGCAATAGATGCCGTGTGTAAATCGAAGAGATAATACATTTACAACATAGGTAGTCCAAATGTTTGGAAATGCGTGTGTCTATAATAAGAAGATGAATCCACGAGGATGTCAACAATCCTGTGGGAGCCATCAGTAGTATGATGAGAGTCAGGCAGGACCACAGTGACAGGTTCAGCCACGACTCGAAGTCCAGGACTCAAATCCAGAACTCAGGATAGAGGATCCAGGACACAGGACCGCAGCAACAGGATCAACCACGACTCAGGATCCCGGCGTAACGACATGGCTCCCTTCACTTAGCTAATGAGTTACTTCCAATTAAGAAAACAAGGTGTAAAATGAGAGTTTATCGCTCACCTCTGTTGATTTCAGGTGCCTTCCGCTCCCCTACAGATCTTACAAAATACTGTATATAAGGATCCTTCCAGTAGCTTTTACTGGAAGCAAACCTAGAACACAATTAGACATTTGATTAGTAGATGGCATCGATGATTAGGTATTAAGTACACCATTTAGTATTATTATGTATTCAATGTAGCCCTTTGAATATGAACACCAAGGATCAAGAACTGGCTCTATTGATCTGTCGAATTTTAAACCCCTATTATTATTTTTTGTGCACCATACCAGTGGTGAGTAAGTACATTTACTCAAGTATTTATTTAAGTACAATTCGAGTAAGGTGTACTTTCCATAAGCATTTTCCTTTCATGCAACTTTATGCTTCTGTTCCATTACATAAGATAAGATAAGATAAGATGGACCTTTATTAATCCCTGTGGGGAAATTCAGTTGTTTAGGACATGCAGGACTTTTACCCCACTACACTTATCTGACATTTGTATCCCCTTCCTGTCCAGTGAAAACAATGTACCTCCAGATGTGCTGCTTTTGAATATTCCTGATAAACTGAAAGATAAAGTGTTTATTGAGAAATGTGAAGTTTCCTGAGCTCATGAGAAGATTACTTTTAAGAGACAACAGACATGTGATGATCTTAATTCAGTATGATGCGTTTATGTGATTTAAACTAACATGATTCAAATGTAGCACAACCATACACATCTACAGCAGCACCATTCACATTAATGCATCAACAATATGAATCTAATATTCATATATAATGTTAAAACACTGACAAGGAACATTATACTTCACAATGCATTCCTTTACTGAAGGTTTGAGATGCAGGACTATTACTTATTACATAGTACGTTCAAAGTGTGGTATAAGTACTTTTAGAGGATCTGTATATTTGTTCTACCACTGTTCATACTATGGTCTGATCGACTGATCCATCTGACTGATATATCTCAGACCATTCCCATGATAAACCATGGGCAGCAGACTGTAAGCTATCTGCGCAGTTTCAAAATGTTGAGAGCCAAGGAGAACATTTAGCAATAAGACACGTTAGTTAATATTCGTGCATATACATTATATCCTATACTACTTTAACTTAAGGCACCTATTAAATGGCCATTGATTGCATGTTAAATAATGAAAGCTGCTGCAGCACATGTTACCTTTTGCAGATGGTTGCATCGTCACAGGTCGCCCTCACTGCTTCATCAGAAGTGTCCGAGTCTATGTAAGGCTGCCGAGCTGCCATTAGCGATTCTTGTCCTAAAGTTAACTTTTTAACATTAAAACTGTAAGCGTTCACCAGCTCGTCCACCTGTTTAACAAGGGCTAACTTAGCTACAAGCTAACTGGCTAGCTCTTTTTTGACAGATGGGGCTGTTTAATAAAAACGACGAAGAAGAAGAAAAAAGCTGTGAACGTAGTCGGGTTGCTCAAGTACTTCTGTATGATAAACAATGTATTAGTTGAATAACAATAAGCGATATTTAACGAGGGAGTAATATTTTGCAGGCTAATAACAACTCGCAGCAAGAAATGAATGAGCACTTCCGACCAGATGGTAAACACTTCCGGTTAATATGTTCAGAATAAAAGAAACCCTGCAAAAGTAAACAACAATGAAAATGTATGAAGTAAACCCCAATTTCACTTACAGTAATAAACATTATTTGTAGAATCTTTCACACAAAATGCTTTACTATTTGGGAATATAGAATAAAATGATCATGAAAAGAAGGTATTACTAATGGACAATTACATTACAAACAAGGGTTATAAACGGAATACATTGAAGGCATAACATAAGATAGAAAATAAACAAAAGGAATAATGTTAATAATTCTAAAGTCAGTAGCCATAGTGCCCATATTTGCAGCAGGCGTACATCAACCCTCTCTGCAGCATCAACATGACAGAAAGCCTTATTCATACCACCACTGTACCATCCTTGAAAAACATAATTTCTTGAGTTTTGACAATTTTAAGTCTTTTAAAAGTATGTGCTTTATTTATAAATGTTTACATGGACTAGGGGAATTCATCCACAAAAAAGACACTGGAAGCTGCACTAGGTCAGAAACCAGAGGAGACTGTAAAGTCCACCGTAGACGGACCACTTTTGGACAAAATGTACTTTCAATTACAGGCAGCTCATTGTGGAATAGCCTCCCAACTAAGTTACGGGATTGTCCCACTCTCAATAGCTTCAAAGGTCAACTCAAAGAATGGTTGAGAAACAAACAGACATGCAATCACCGCTAAATGCACTTTAACACAGGGGTATCTCCTCTTGCACTTTAGGTAGCTCTTGTATCTTCTCTTGCACTTTATATGTCGTTGCTGCTACATTGTACTGCCATGTGATAAATACTTGGGTACCACTTTACAATAAGACTACCCTTATAAAGGGTTTACGAATAGTTTGTAATTCATTTATTAATTAGGTTGTGAACACTTTATAAATCATTAATAAGCTTTTATAAGACATGAGATAAACAGGGTGACTGTGACCGGTTGCTTGCCAAATAGTGAGCCCACATTTATCTGTAATGCTAAGCCTTATATTGGCTACCTAGCTTACTTCGTCTTCTTCATCAGCCAGCATCCTTGGTATCTGTTGCTCACTGAGTTGATTCTCGCTAAGCAGCCAATATAAGGCTTAGTCATCTTGCCAAATAGTGAGCCTGTGTTGATGAAACTATGTTAGAAATTGTTTATAAATGGTTCTTAATGATTAATAAAGTGTTTACAACCTAATTCATAACCTAATTATAAACCCTTTATCAATCCTTTATAAGGGTAGTCTCATTGTAAAGTGGTACTGTCATTTTCTTAAATGTTTTATGTGAGGGACTGCGGGTGGAAATGAGCTAAAAGCAAAATCTGGCATATTTACGCTTGACACATTTCATTGTTTTTAGTGTTCATTAATGTGCAATGTCCCGGCTAAATAAACGATTAAATAAAACATAAAACATGTTTCCAGTCCCTTTCACATTGTTGTTGTCTTTTCTGTTTCTACATTAGTGGTTGAGATTTGAATGTGTTAAGTATTTCAGAGTGCACTCTCTGAATTATAGGATTCTTAATCTGATGTTCTGTGTTTTGCACTGAGCCTCATCTTTGGATAGATAGAGGCCCGGTTGATTATTATCCTGGAAATGAGGACAGTAAAAGATGCACCTGAAAAGAGGCACCACAATCAGCCGATCACTTTCATCTGTTTCATTCTGGAGATTAGTGAATACAGCCAGGATGATAAAAGTGAAACAATGTCTCGCTTTGAAGAGTTTTAAAAAGGGGGATTAACAAAGGGGGGAAACAATAAAATGTTGCTTTCATCAATTCCCATGTGAAATATGGAATCTACTGTAAGCCACTGTGCAACATTTCCTCGCATACATTGTTGGGGGGAAATCCTGCTATTATAAAGCCAATGTCACTGAGGATGTCACTCAGATAATTGAGATGTTCTTTGTGGCATCAGTGTGTCTGAATCTGTCAGAAAACCTGGTGCAGCATGTATAAAAAGAGACATGCTAATAAGACATTTTAGCATCTATTTAGATATCAATAAAGGTGAGAAACCATTCAGCTGCAAAGATCTCAGCTCTTCTCTCATGGAGAAACAAAGTGCTATGTGCTTTATGGACTGTTATACATCATGGCTGTACACAAAATGTGTTTTTACAATAATGTCTTAAAGCTGACGTTGCAATATTTAAATTTAGATTGACATCCAGCTGAAAGGCATCATTAACTGTGACTTCGATCTAATAGAACCATAATGCATTTGGCCTCTGAAAGACGCCTGTCTGAGTCATTTGAATGCTATCAGTTACCTAAGTTGAATACCATTAGGAGTCAGTCTAGCCTTATTGCCTTCTCAGCAAAAAGGAAGTGGGGTTTTACTAATGCTGTTTCCAGTCAAATGAATTCCATGGTACTTTACCTTTTAACCATCTGATTTAAAGGAAGACAATTTAGCATCGGTGCAGTACTCCAACATTTGAATTTTTATTAAAAGCACGTTTATTTTTATTGCTTTAAAAGCTGTTTTGAATCAGTGAAGTACTCAAAAGTCTGTTTTTATTAAATAAAAGTTGTTTAATTTGTATTTGTAGTAGAGGCTTTTTAACAGTAGTTTAGATTTTCTTTTTATAATAGTAGTTCTATGTCATTGTAGTACAGGCTTTTTGCATCAGTCCAGAGCTCCAAAGTCAGTATTCTTTTAATAAAAGTCGTTTTGTGGTTGCTGAAGTACAGGTTATTTTCAGGTTATTTTGCATCATTGCACTGCTAAAAAGTCAGTATTTTTTAATAAAGTATTTGTTTATTGTAGTACACTCGTTTTTCATCAGTTAATTACTCAAAAGTATGTTTTTTTAATATAAAAGTTGTTTAATTTGATTGTAGGACAGGCTTTTTTACATTAGTTTAGAGCTCCAAAATCAGTATTTTTATTAAAAGCACTAGTAGGCCTACAGCTTTTTTGCATCAGTGCACTACTACAAAGTCAGCATTTTTCATAAAAGTCGTTTTTTTGTTGTAGTAGTCTTTTTTTGCATCCCTGAAGTACCCAAAAGTGTGTTTTTTTTTTAAATAAAAGTTGTTTAATTGTATTGCAGAACAGGCTTATTTACATTAGTTTAGAGCTCCAACGTAATTTTTCTTCCTAATAGCACTTTTATTTTGTTGCAGTACAGTCTTTTTTTTGCACAGTGCAGGGCTCCATATGTTCTCCAGTCGATGTCCAGGGGGAGGTGGTGCTCCAACGTGACTTCCTGCCGCCCTCCTCCCTCTCTGAGCGGGCAGAGGCAGAGGTGAGCCCCGCTGCTGCTGCACTTCACTCTGGGAAAGAAAAAGCGGCCGACGGACGGATTATCAGCTCAGTACAGTTAGCTCGTCGGCTAACGGGTCAACACCAAAACAAGCCACCGAGGGGGAACCATGAAAACCCTCCAGTGAAAGTTAGGCACGGTTTACCCGAAGACTTTAATGCACGGAAAGGCACAAAAAAGGAGGATCCCGGATCATGCCTTCGGGAACGGGAAGGCTAGTTTAGGGGCTAGCGAGGCTGCAAACTATTTTTAATTGGCTTGAATGGCTCCTGCTTGTGTTCTCCTGTCATAGCGACAGTTTGGGGAATTAAAAAAGAAAGGGAGAGGCCCTTCATGACAAACCAAAAGCCCGGATTTTAAAGCGTAATTTGGGAAGAAAAGCTGCCAAAGGGACCCAAAATGAAGAAGCAGTTCAATCGGATGAAGCAGCTCGCCAATCAAACAGTTGGCAGGCAAGTATTCAAGTCACCGCTGGTTAATGCTTATGGGAAAACTAGTTAGCAAACACACTTTATTCTGCTTTTTCCCCATGCTTTTCGATTATTTTAACCTCATACTATTCCTTAACTTGCTTTCTATCAGTTTATGCAGATGTGGAAGAAGTACTTTCATCATTTACTTGAGTAAAAGTATAAGTACCATAGAGTACGAATACTCAGTGAGTAAAAGTCCTGCAATTAAGATGTTACTCAAGTAAAAGTACAAAAGTATTTGCATATAAATATACTTACAGTACCAAAAGTAAAAATACTCATTCTGCAGATTGACCCAGTTCAGAATCATCTATGATATGTATTGGTTATAATTATTGGTGTGTTTATCAAAGATGGTAAAGATGGAACTAAATGTGATTACTTTATTTACTGTAGGGTAGAATGTGAATTTACCTCAGTTGTAACTAAAGTCTGATTTAAGTGTTGATTATGTTGTTTACCTTTTTAAGTACCTAAATGTAGACAGTGGAGTAAAAGTACAAAGTAACATAACATGAAAATACTCACTGAAAGTACAAGTACATCGAAATTGTACTTAAGTACAGTACTTGAGTACATCTACTTAGTTACATTACACCACTACAGTTATGACAATGCAATGTTGTAACAAGAGAACATTAGTTTTCAGACTGAATGAATCCATTGCTTTGAAAGCCAGACATGCAGGCCTGCAGACAGTTAAACTGGATGTGGGAAAAGCTGTCCTTGATGTGTGCAATCCAACCAGATGTCCTCCTGAAAAGTCTGAATCAGCCATCTGCACATTAGCACTGTCTGCCTGGGAAATAAACAGCAACAGCGAGAAGCCCCATGAGTGTGCATTTTGCTTTCGGTCATTGACCCGCCCTGAGCTGAGTCACTTTCTTTCATTATAAGGTTTTATTCTGCTGTCAACATCTGTGTAAAATAGCATACATGTCTGACATGCTTTGGAAAACATACAGTAAGAAACCAATTCCTACTTTTGGATGATTTTACAGTATCTATACTATCAATACAGTAGTGGTTGAAGAAGTACTCAAATCCTTCACTTAAGTAAAACAACAAATAGTTTGGTCTTAAAATACTACATTACAAGTAAATGTCATGAATTACAATGGTACTTAACTAAAAGTACAAAAGTATCATAGGCTAAATGTACTTAAAGTATCAAAAGTACACTTAACAGTATTACATTTTTGTAGAATATCATTTTGTCCTGTTTGTGGAACCAATTTTAGATACTGGGTTGATAAGTAGCACAGTACTGCATTATATCATATCAGCATATCATGTGTTTTACATTCCTCTCTACAGTTTAGAGCTTTCTTAGAAATACTGATGCAGTAAAGGGTTATCATTTTACCTCTCTACTGTATAGGGATTGAGTTTGCTTTGTAAAATTTGCAAATTTGACTGTCAAATATGCTTAATCTAGATTAAAAGTAGAGATGCAGCAATACTAAGTGAAAAAGCTTGATGTGAAAGTAGGCCAATCTCATATCTGATACCATTATTTGAATAAAAACAATTCAGTACATTTATATTAACATATGTATTTAATACATCCTGTTTTACAAAGGTCAACCCTAATGTTGCCTTACACATAAAAGATCATAGTCTCTTCTACCTAGTGAAGCATACACCTTATGAATTATAAATAACAATGGGGTTGGCCAACATCCTAAACCAGGGATTCAAAAGGTCAAATAGGTGCATCCAAATATTGGCAGGTAAAATGTTTCATTAGTATGGCACTGATGACGTGTTAAAGCAGATATTTAGCTGATAACAGATAAAGGTGTGTTCCTAGTCTTTGCTGCACTGTCCATGTCCGGCCTCACTTGCCCCCTGAGCAGCTGAGGGAGGGGGGAGAAGGATTTACAGGACTCACATCCTGCAGCAGTGGATGTGCACCATAGCGTTCACTCTGTGCTGATAAAGAGGCAGTAAGAGCCTTCTCCATTTGTGAAACTCTAGCCGCTCCGGTTCTACTAGACATCAAACTTAAAACATATAAAATAGATTAATGTGCCTAAGTGATGCACAATTGTCTTTCTGTCTTCAATCCAAACTTCCCTCTCTCAGAACTTCTAACAGACAGCAGTATCTAAGCTATTAAGATAATACATCCCAACAATGAGGAAGCATTCTGCAGCTTATTAAGTAATACCACAGTGTTCCTTTGTGACTGAATATCCACAGCAGCAAAAGCTTCAGCCTGGGCTTGTGTTGACAGGGGGGGGGGGGCGAGTTAAGCCAGAGGATGTTGTGTGTGTGTGTGTGTGTGTGTGTGTGTGTTGTGTGTGTGTTGTGTGTGGGGTGTGGTGTGTGTGTGTGTGTGGTTGTGTGTGTGTGGGTGGTGTGTGGTGTGTGTGTGTGTGTGTGTGGTGTGTGTGTGTGTGTGTGTGGTGTGTGTGTGTGTGTGTGTGTGTGTGGTGTGTGTGTGTGTGTGTGTGTGTGTGTGTGTTGTGTGTGCTGTGTGTGTGTGTGTGTGTGTGTGTGTGTGTGATGGGTGTGGTGGTGTGTGTGTGTGTTGTGTGTGTGTGTGTGTGTGTGTGGGTGTGTCGCAGGGCAGACAACGCAGGTGCACCAAAGTACTGGATGGGTACCAGATAAAGCAAACAACAGGCTGGAACATACTGAATGTCAACGCTGAATAGGCATTGTCACCACATAGAATATAGTTTCTACGTTTAAAAAGCGTGATATATTTTAAATGTTAAAGGTGGGGTAGGTAAGTTTGAGAAACCGGCTCGAGATACACTTTTTGTTATATTCCATGGAATGCTCTTAACATCCCGATAGCAATGAATATCTTACCACTTGTTTTAAAGGGGCCTTTTTATGCTAATTTTCCTGTTCATATTAGTATGTAGTATGCTGCAGCACCTCTTTTCACCCTCTGTCTGAAACCAGAGCCCAGTCTGCTTTGATTGGTTAGCTGGCCGGCTCTGTCCGCCTCTTAGCCTATCACGTACAATGTGTTGGAGTGCTAGCCAATAGAAGCATGAGTGTTACAAAGTGATGACATTATGTGGAGGGAACTTTGGGAGTTTAGCCTTTGCAGACCATTTACATGCACACACACCTATAACAAAGCATAACAGGATATGGAAACCCCTAAAAAGCTTAACAGGGCCTCTTTAAATGACTGATAGTTTACATGATAACACACATTGTTTGTTGGCAGGATATAAGTTTCACTTTTTTGAGCAGTCATTTTTTCTGCTTCACTGAGTTTCGTTTTCCCTCAAATTCCTAGTTTGGCTTGATACTGAAGAAGATTCGCTTGATCGTTTATTTGTTTTATGATTCTTCGCTCACAAACTCATTGCCAGTTATTAAAATGCATATGTTCATTTTCTCGGAAGTCTTATTTTTATTTTATCGTTGCTTTCTCTTTCATCTTTAAGTGAAAACACGAAGGAGCTGCTAGAAAAAACAAATCATCAGCGGATCAAATAAAGCTCTATTTATTGATGATGTCAAGATGGCCCTTCATCAGGGGTGCAAACATTTAAATCTCCTGCTACTTTGCAGCTGGAATACTCATAACCTCCTCATTGCAGTGCACAGCAGTAATTTAGAAGTGGAGAGAGTGTAATGCAGAAAACAGACATTTGTATGTGTGTGTGTGTGTGTGTGTGTGTGTGTTGCATGCAGAAGTGGCTTGCTTTTTTTCGTATGGGTTAAATCCCTCTTGCACTCATACTGTATGCCCTTCTTACCGAGTGTCCTGTCAGCATTTGGCTCGGGGCGAGAGGTGAGCATACTCTGCTTTGGCCATTAACTTTTTGCCCTGTTTGTGTGTGTGCATCTGCAAAATATCTGGAGTTTGGAGGCCCTCTGCGCTGCCCCCCTGGGTTCCTGTGATTGTGCAAAAGGCAGAACAGTGTGTCCAGCAAGCAGCCGCTCGGAGGAAGTCTCTCCTTCTTCTTCTACAAACAGGAAGCTGCCTCCCGGAGACACGCCGGTGGTTTCTAGAGAAATCTGGGGAGAGATTGATGTGCAGAGAGGGTGAAACTGAGGTGCAGGGAGAAAACAGCATGTGACTCGCGCATGCCAGGGATCATGACTGGAAGGTTTTTGTAGAAGCTTTTTTTTAGTTGGCTATCTTTGAACTCTCTGTCCCAATACGTGCATTTTTTCTGCAGGTTAACGATAGATAGGGTATCAGAGGCAATACCTGCGTAAGGTAAACTAACAATCACACTCTAGCCTCCAACAATGAGGTCAATATTCAGCGTACATGGGATGTTTGAGAGTGTGCATTTGTGATCGCCCCTGACTGTCAGGAGAACAGCCTTTGATAAGTTATTTAAGATAAGATTTGATAATCTGTGTTTTCCAATCAAAGAGTGTGGACAGAGGCTGCTTTTAAGGGGGGGGTTCAAAGGTAAAAGGTTCAGTAAAGAGGAGGAGGGGGACTTTAAACCAGACAAACCTGCAACTAGCTACTGAAATGTAGTTGAAGTCACTCTACTGGTTAGTTGAGATGTTTATGTTGCATATACACTTCTGGAGCTGCAATGATTTTTCAGTTTTAGTCAACACTTATAGTTGAAATGTCACATTTTTGTAGAAAATATACATGTTGTGATATTTTGGTTCATGGACTTATAAAACGAGACATTTAAAGACCCGACCTTGGACTGTGAGAAACTTGTTCCAACAAATCTTCTAGTTTCATCATACAATCCTTTTTTGATACCTATCAACAACAACAACCTTCTTACAAGTAGTGTTGTGCAATCTAATGTGCATCTATTGTGTTTTTAAAGTCCTTGATTCAGTCCAGGAGGGAGACGTTTTGAAAGATCGTTTTTCCCCGCAGGGATCCACAACATGTCACTGTTGAATGAACCAGGATAGGTGACTCTGGGCGTTCCCCTGAGTCTCCGGGACAAAGAGGTGCGTCAGCTGGGAGCCTGTGTGGTTCTGCTGGTGTTAGAAGAGACCTGCAGTATGAGGCTAAG